TAAACTTGGTTTATAATTTACTAGGGGAGGCCTGCACTGCGCGCGAGATATGATTATTGCTGGCCATATAATGCTATTTTTCCTTGAAAATAATGTTTTAACATTGGGATAAATAATATAAATTTGATTATTTTTTGTATTTTTTTATTTTTAATGTTTGACTTTGACTATTTATGATGAATATATTGTTATTCGTTTTTGTTACTTCAATTGTGATATATACGAATGAAATTGCTGGTGCCCTATTTGTTTCAATATTTTTTTTGGGAATAATAATTGAATTGTTGTTTTTTCTTGTTGTTAATTTTTAGTCTATTGTTGTGTGAATTGTATAGGAATGATGTTCATAACCAAGTGGTTGTTTATATTTTTCTTTTAAAGGTTCTGATTTTGTTTTAATTTTTCACATATGCTGTAAGTGTTTGGCTGAATCTGTGTAGTGTTGACATTCTTCCATTCCGTTATAATATAATTCTTATGGCTGGGAAGTAGACAATATTTATGTGTATGAAGGGTATTACAACCATGTTTTGATTATATATTTGTTGGGTCGCTGAGTTTTCCTTATTTGATACAAATATTTGGACTTTTTATGCTTTCCAAACGATTGGTTTAATCGAACACAATGACCTCTATATCACTATGAATTGATATTAGTTTGACCGTTTAAATGAAGGATTATGGACCGTGCAACTCATAAAGCATAAGTCATTATAGAAAACGTGCAAGATAACAAAGAGAACATAACGAAAGACCAAGTGCAAACAGAAACTCAAATTGAAGCAAATAAAAGTAAAAGTGAACATAGATCCGTGGGTTATTAGTCAGATCAGTTTGTAATAAAAACAAACGGTGCACCTATCATCTGGGTAGACAAGTAGTTCATGAACAGTCAGATGAGCCTGAAAAACGTCAGTTTTTGGTAGAGCCTGAAGATATCCATGATGTTCTAACAAAGGAAACTGTAAATTCTTGCATATCTCTCTAGAGATTTCTTTTTTTTTCTTTTTTTTTTCATGATAACAATTTCATTAGCCTATTTTGGAATATTTGTTAGGGAACTGGATCAGTCATAGGTATATCATGTCATATGTCTACGATGGGCGAAGTCTCTATTAGTGGGCGAGCCTTTGAAGGAATGCCGAATCTTCAATTCTTAAAGATCTCTTACGGATTTAAATTAAGAATAGCAAAGGAAATGAAATATCTACCTCATCTAAAGTTACTTGATTGGCGGTTTTACCCAAGAAAACATCTTCCTCCAAAGTTTCAGCCTGAATGTCTCATAGATATTTTAATGCAAGATAGCAATCTTGAAAAGCTATGGGGTGGAATCAAGGTATGTATTTTAAAAAAAATTATAAAATATTATTCTAATGCTTTAACTTAACTATGGTCTGTCTCACTAGTTTTGTTTGATATGAAGCCTCTTCCAAATCTCAAGAAAGTAACTCTGAGCAATTCATGGTGGTTGAAAGAAATCCCAAATATTTCAAAGGCTACTAATCTCGAGACACTAACACTTTCATCTTGCTCAAATTTGGTGGAGCTTCCCTCTTATATTAGGAATCTACACAAACTAAAACAGTTGGACATGAGCGGCTGCAAAAAGCTACGAGTTATTCCCACCAACATCAACTTAGCATCTCTTGAGAAAGTCTACATGAGCAGATGCTCACAGTTGAGAAAATTTCCAGATATTTCTACCAACATCAATCATCTTAATATAATAAACACAAAGTTAGACGATGTTTCTCCATCCGTTGTTGGATGTTGGTCTCGTCTTGAATGGCTTTATGGGCAGCAGAAGGCTCAAGATATTAACACATGTTCCGCTAAGCGTGACGAATCTAGAGCTAAGCAACAGTGATATAAAGTGGGTTCCAGATTGTGTAGCTAATCTCCTTTGTCTCGAGTTTCTTACAGTCAACAACTGCAGAAAGTTGGTATTACTGCAGATTCTTCTGCCTTCTCTTAGGAAACTCGAAGCAAGTTATTGTGAATCACTCAAAAGCGTATGTTTTTCGTTCGATGAGCCAAGAATATCTTCTTCTTTCTATGATCCAACCAGAGAAGTAAGTTTCATCAGTTGTTCGTCACTAGATGAAGAAGCAAGAAGAGAAATCATACAACGATGGGATTATAAGTGTTTATTGTTACCAAGTAAAGAAGTCCCTGCAGAGTTCACTCACCAAGGCAAAAAAAAAACTCCATAAGCATCTCTTCAGGAACTTTCTCTGCATCATCAAGATTTAAGGCTTGCCTCCTGCTTTCTCCAACCGACCAGGACAACACTTCAGGTGTTTGTCGTCTAAGTTGCAAATGGTTTATCATCAAAGAACTTAAATACTCTTTGTGGTTTCATCAACTCTTAACTGAACACCTGATAGTATTTTCTGGGGACCTATTTGAAGAAAACAGATGCCTTGAAGCTGATTCGACTACCAGCGCCAATATTGTATTTGAATTCAGCGGCAGGAGAAACAATTGCTGCATGGGAAAATGTGACGGGGCTACTGATATGATTATTGGGTATGGTGTACAGATCTTGGCGGATGAAGGTGAGAGTAGCAGCAGCAGATCTAAAGAGCACAAGGATGGAGCCATTGAGGTCTCTAAAGATGAAAGTGTGGTAAAAATTAGTAAGCATACATGTTGGTGGAGTTGGCGTAGGAAGCTTGGTCTGAGGAAGAAGAAGAAGACAGACGGTGAAATATCATGAGTGTGACCGTTGAAAGAGACATAGCGAGTAGCAGAGCTATGGAAGGTTTTGTTATGTCTTTGCCAATTTTTGTCACTATATCCTTTTCAAACTGTCCTAAGGATTTGCAATTTACAAAGTCATGTTGTATATACAGTATTCGCTTTGGTTTAATATATGGATTACTTGTAAATGTGTTCACATTGCTTGATGGAGAAAGCATTGACTGATGTTTCCCCAAACACTGTCAATTGGTATGAAAGCTTTGGCTGATGTTGCCCCAAACACTCTCTTCTCAATTGGTATGAAAATTTGCTGCTTTTTATCTTTCTTTAAAAGATGGTCAAATTTTTTTGTGAATTTAGATGTCACCGACATGATTTTGTATGCTTTTGGTAAGTAAGATGAGAAGAGATGATTCAGAAGATTACTATATATGTGTCACAGAAACTAGAAACTTAATGCCACATTTAAGAGGAATTTTAAGGGATGTGTTGGAGATGGATTACATATGTATTGACAAATCTCATCAAATAAACTGAACTCGGCCCATTTAATTAAGAGGCAGTCATAGATGATATGCCAGTTTGGAATAAAAATGAAAGAATTCAGGTATAAGTAGAGAAGACCTAACTCCAAGAGGGAACATTCACAATCCCACAAAAATCGACACCAAAATTATTTTTACATAGATTTACTTGTTCTTGTCGGGTGTATATCTCTCAATTAACATTTTTCAAATAATCACCATCGAATGTGTGTCAACTTACGTGCATGCCGAATTCAGATTGAGCAATTGGTGTCATCTGCGAAGAGTTACAAAGCAAAGTTAAGAAAAAATAAATATGACTGGAGACGATAACAGTCAAACATCATGGACTCTATCCCGACGGTTTCAGATCTCTCCACCATGATGACTTTGATGCAAAGCTTTTTGGAGCGCTTTGAGCAACAAGACACATCTAACAAAACAACCAACGAACGCTTAGAAGCTTTATCTGCTTCTTGCACACCATCTCTTACATATGATCAAGATCCTGAAACACAAGGAGATAACTGTTCAAAACAGATTTCAATCTGAAAAATTAGATATGACTCATGCACACAGAAGATCAACGTTCTTAGAAACTTGATATGATACATGTAGTCAAAAATTCATCAAGTTATGAGTACTCTTCGAAGCATGTGAATATCATATTTTTGACTTCGTAATCATGCATGCATATGCATGAAATTATGAGACCATGTTTATCGCTGAAACTCATAAAGGGTTCTTTAAAAAAAGAACCAATTGGTTGCCGCTATTTTTCGGTGAAGTCCGCAAACAGTACAAAAAACCTCCAATGGTCGATCCTTAATTGGTGATTTTGGTTACTGGTTTTTAGTACTTTGTGGGTTCCATTTACCTTAAGAAACCTACTAAAATCGCCGATAATCCTGCCCTGAAAGTCCAAGGTTCAAGCAACTACAAAATTCTACATTTGAAAAAAAATCCATCATGGGAAAGGAAGGGAATCTACCTTCACATATGAGTTGTGATTGTCTTTAAACTTTTTTTTGAGTTAAATTTCAAATATACACATTGAATTTTGTCTATAAACTTGTGATGTAATGAATTACTTAGGAGCTTGAGTTCTTTAATTTATCATCTTTTTCCATGTTACATACTTTCATTTTTAGTGTCATGACAACAAACATCATCAAAAGTTTTTTCAAGTCACACCGTCCAACATTAATATGTCAGCACCACCTTGACGCGGGTATTCTTTCTCGACTTCCAACTCGCGCATGGGCTGGAGGTCTATCCTCCAACATTAATATGTCAGCATATCAAAAACTTCGACCATGTTAAAAGATAGTAAAACTTATGAAATATGTTAAATACGTTGATAATGTGATTGGGCTTATTGACTTGACTTGGGTGAGATAAAAGCTGATGGGCACTTTGTTGGCAATATTATCTTCAACAATTGCCGATGAAGTCGAACTTTTTAATCTTGGTTATTCATTGGCTGTCCATGTATATAACTACGAAATTTCGGTGAAAAGTCAATAAAAGTCTTCAACACATGAATCAAATATTTACACTAATATTATTTTAATTTGAATCCCTCATGTGTATATGTCTCCGTGCAGCTAAAAAGCCTTTTTGACAGTCATTGGATAATAAATGGGAAACGTGTTAAACTTCTACGAAATTTCCAAGGGTACTTCAGTAAATTTCGCTGAGTCAATCCATTGACCTTTCGCTTCTATATAAAAAAAAACGGAGCAAACGAATAAGCCAAAATAGAATCTAAAACCAAACACAAAAACAAAACAGAGTTAACTTCTAAAATGACGACGAGCAAATGCTACTATCCACGACCAAGCCACCGATTCTTCTCCACTGAGCAACACATCACTCCTTCTTCAGATTTCGAGCTCGACGAGTGGGATCTCTACAACACTGGTTCAGATTCTGCTTCCACTTTCAGCTTTAGTGACCTCACCATCACGTCCCGACCTAACCGCAAACCTCGCTACGGTTCGGTTACAGAGAAATTCTCCAGTACACATGCGTCTTCTCTCCCTGTCAACGTACCTGACTGGTGTAAGATTCTTGGGGACGAGACTCTACGGAAGCAGGTTTCGAACGAGGAAGCCGACGGAGACGATGTTGCTGCATGCGGTGGAGAAGCACGGCGTGTACCGCCGCATGAGTTGCTGGCGAGTCGGAGGAATGCGTCGTTTTCGGTTCATGAAGGTGCTGGGAGGACGTTGAAAGGGAGAGATCTTAGTAGGGTGCGAAATACTATTTTCAAAATTAGAGGGATCGAAGACTAAAATGTTTTATAAAACTGGGGTTACAAGGACTTTAATCGAAATTGTGAGGTTTTGTTTTTGGAAAATAGATTGTTGTTTTTACTTCGTTTGTTTTTTTAATTGTTGCGGCTAAGGATTTCGGACACGTCGTGATTAATTAATTATAAAGAGACTGTTAATTTAAGATTGTATTGAAATTTTAAGACACCAACTATGAAATTGACTTGTTTTTATGTCATTTCTTACACATTTCATTTTTGTATTACGTAGATAAGATTCTTCTCTCCTTTTGGGTTAATGTTTTGTCAACGATGGCTAAACAATGGATTAAGCTAATTATTAGTAAATCATGTGCCATCGATTTTGGATTTATTTGTAGATGGAAACATGGTGCGTTGTCCTTAATCATACAATGTTGGTCGGCATATTTTTCTCTCTCTTTTCTTATCGAGTAAATCCAATTATGATTTTTTTTTCTTCTAAAACTAAGATGAGAGTCTACCGGGTAAGTACTGAAACCATTCATAGTACGTATATGCTGGTTTGGCTGGTTTATCATTAATTAAGCTAGGCTGCATTCGGCTATTCGTAAATCGTAATTGTATATACTGTATAATTTTATGTTAGTATGAACACAGATCTGGTTGGTTCATTTTGATTATATGAACTCGTGTTTCCTATCAAGGCGACTTGACCAAATGGTGTTATACTATATTACCCACCTTCTGAGTATGTTTTATATTATTTGCTAATAGTAAATTAAGGAGGAGAGACGATGGTATTGGATTATAATGTCTTGGATCAAGCACAACATATTTTTAGGCGCTTTATGTGGATAAAACTCGCTTGTTTGGATAAGATCTTGCTAATTAATTAATTATGGAAAGTAAAACCTTAAACGTTTTACTGCCGTATCAACTACTCCATCAGATATTTCAAAACCTAGATCTTATGCAAACATTACAAAGTACAGTATATCCCTTTATTATTAAAGGAGAAGCAATTAGGATAATAAACCTTGATTTTGTAATTTATTAACAGTTTTGCCATTATGGCTGATGTGGCAACACCACAAATCACCTTAGCCATCATTTTTAATAGGTCTTTAATTACTAGAGAATTTACAATATTTACCACTGATGGTCATCATAACATATAACATAAGATATAACAATGACCATTAAGCCATTAAATGCATGATTCCTATTAAGCCATTAAATGCATGATTATGTCGACAACTTTAAAGTTCCAACATAATATTAAGTCAAACGATTTAAAATCAATAATACCGATACTTTCGAGAAACTAATTTATTGAATATTAGCATAGCAAACAATATATATTGCTTTAACATATAATCATATTTGAAATCACGTTGTAATTCTCCAGATCTGTACTTGCCGAGATTATGAATGCAACTCTGATCCTATCAGTAGTAAAACATGATAAATTTGATAAAACGAAATATTACAGCTTATTCATATATTAATTCCATCTCTTATCAAATTACTTTTAGAAGTTCATAGTTACTGGTTATCAAATTAGTCCTCATCTTCTTACAATTCAACAGTTCAATATTAAGATATTGCTCAATACAAGTATATTTAAACCTACTATATACTTAAACATTATATTTTATAGAATTTTCGTATGATGTCCGATAGAATTATGAACAAAAATGTATAGTAAAATATTTTCTTAACTATTTCTGTATAGTAAAATATATTTTTAACAGTTTTGCCCCGCGTTAGGCGCGGGTCTCTACCTAGTGATTAAGTTACAATACGTACTCTTTTTTCTAAAGTAACAAAAATTTCAAGCTGGATCGGTAGATTAACGCTATAATAATCTAAATAAATTATAAAAGTTTTAAATTGGGCATAAACGTCTCTATCGCTTCAAATGAAATTTTAAGTTTATATTTGTATTTTATAAAGTATTGTTTGAGCTATAAATTATCACAATGTAGTTTTGCATGATTTTTTTATATATGCAATTTAATCGAATATTGTTTGAGATATAAATATTGTTTAACATTTGCAACTAACAAATAATTTGTGCTTATAATAATTGAAATTGTGAGTTCATTTGAAAACGAGTAAGAAAATTGATCTTGTTTAATTTGATAACATGTGTGTATTATATATATATTTTTTAAAGAAAATCTCATATCAATACGGCTCGTGTAATACTTCCTTCGTTTCACAAAAAGTATCATTTTGACATATTTCATGTGTATTAAGAAACTTGTAAAATATACTAGCATGTTCCAATTTAATGTATGATTAATTAAATAAAAATAATTTAAATAAAATTTTATTGGTTATTCAAAAGAATAAAAGATGAATTTAATTGTAAAACTGAATTGCAAACGCAGAAAGACACGTTTTTTAAAAGAAAAAAAAATAAACCTAAATGACATTTATTATGAAACAAAGAGAATATATATTAATTTGTAGGAAAAAAAAACAAATACTCCCTCCGTTTTATATTAAGTGTCGTTGTAGAGAATTTTTTGCGTTACAAAATAAGTGTCGTTTTCAGTTTTCAATGCAAAATTTATTAATTTTATTATGTAACTAATTTTTCTATTGGTTAAAATATGGTTAGGTGTATAGGTAACTGTGTTTTTATATAGGAAATATGTAAAATTAATTGTTTCCTTAATCC